AGGAACAACACACAAGATGTTTACCCGGTTCGATATAGTGTGTATCTACATCTGGGAGACGATCACATAAGCGTCCAATCCACTAACAAATCATCAAATGTACAAAGGTAGAGAATAAGCAATCTCACCCAAGTGCCCCACACAAGGTAAGTACTAGTCTACACTGACTTAGTGGATTGTTGAAGATAGAGAGCCGTGCATACAGAAGTCCAATGAAATCCCTTCACTTGGAGAGCTAACTCTGATGCAGTCAACTTCAATGACGCAGTCCAACGTTGCCACAACTGTGTGATCTTTGCGTCCTTTTCGTTTAAGCAACGATATCTCTTCTCAAGTTCTTCATCATAATTAACCAGAACAAATTGTCTTAAGATGAGTCATAATAATCAGAGATGTAATCTCTTAGTATATGTCTGAGTGTTTCTTTCTTCTTGAAAGCGTAACCCTAATTCTTGATCGATTAAGAGTACTTATAGTTCCATAATAAGAACACTCTCCATAGATACCTCTGATTGTAGATGGTAGGACGATATAAGAAGAATGTAATCTTAAGGATCCGGTCCATACCTTTCCAAAGCAGATACGCTGATCTCCTTTCCAAAACAGACTCTTTAAACCGCGTTCTGCAAAAAGGAACATATCTTCATAAAACAGATCTTCAGTGTCAGTCCCGTTGTTGGTGTATCTGATCAATCAGTCTTCTGTAGAACAAAACGACACCAAGCTAATCTTATCTTAGTTTGCCATAATAATATTGCCAATTATATGTTGGGGTTTGATTGCTGTAATTTGGGGCAAACAAATAATACCCGGAGTATTCGGGTTGTCGAACCACAGAGAGGTGGTGTACTAATCACTAGCTACTAGGTTACTCATATGAAACTAGTCCGAACAAAACTTGAAGGTTGATTGATTGCATAAAATAACAAGCAGAATAAAATAAGTAGCAAGGTTTTGTAGACAATAGAGCAAAATAGGATTCTTGGGATCACAATGTTTAATCACCTAGTGCCAATTAACGTTTGTAATATTTGGTTTGGAATTAAGATTTGTATGGGAATGCAAAGTGGAATCGAATTACTCTCGTAATCTCTATTCCTAGTGAATTTCCACTCCCATGGCTTAAACACCCAATAAGATCAAAGATCAGCATTCAATTATTCCTAATTACTACCATCTCCCGATGAGCAATAATCTAGAATAAACTTCCCCTAATAAGTTCCCCTTTCCCAAGGACCAACCATTAGGTGCAATCGTGTGTGCCCTAATTTATGCCCCAACTCCCATTGGTGACACAAACATGACTGTGAAGCTAGTAATTTAGGCCTTTAACTACCAACAACAACAGATTAAAACAAGATTGCAACACAAATCATAAAACCAAACATAAATATATTAAGAAATTAACGAACTAGGCACATAGGTTCATAAACAAATTCACCCAAAAATCCCTAAGGAATTTAGCCGAGCATGGCTAAATTATACATAGAAAATATGAATAAAGGATTACAAATCATCAGAAGAGTACAAGAATTAACCAAGCCATTCTCCCAAATCTCCCTGGCTTCCTCCTTGCTTCCAAAGACGACTTGAGCCTCTTGATTTCTCTCTTTCTTGTCTACAAAGAACTCTAAAAATCTCTCGGTATGTTTAGGGTTGAGGTAGTAGGGATTTTATAGTGGGTACAAAGTTGAGATGAAATAGGAATCTTGTACAAAATTGGACTCAAATTATAATTCCTATAATTAATTAAAAGAAATTGCCGCCTTTCTTTAATTTGGAATTGAAGTTGGAATTTGGAATTTGATATCTTGAAGTTTGCGCCTTTGAATATGGAAATTGAAGTTTGAATTGGCTACTTGGAGTATGAATTGGAGATAAACATCAACGCGTCATTGTAATTTACGTTAGCAGCACTTCGCGACTTTCTCGACCGAAAAACTTACTAGAAATTTTCGACGCGTCGAGTCCTCTAGGCCCCGAACTTGTCCAAAATTGCTCCAAACTCATCCTTGAACTTCCCTTGCTCATAGAATTGACCTACAATGGTTCAAAAACACTAACAAACACCGTAAAACATTCAAAACAAGTGTGAACCATAATTAAATGATAATAGCAAGGAAAATATGTATTAAATAGGCAAAATTAAAGAACTTAATTACTGTGATGATTCAAAATAACTATAATAACAAGCAAAGATGTGATAACATCAGGGTTATTTGAGCAATTAAAACACTAACAAACTCCCTCTTTGGCTATTATTTGGCAAAACAACTCGACTACTTATAAAAACACAAACTAGATAGGACTAAGAAAGTGAATGCATAAAATGACAAAAGATTGATTACAAAGCATAACAGAAACACAGCATACAAGTCATGCTGGAACAAAAACAACATTCTTCATAGAGTGGTGTCATCACAATCAGTCGCCTAGACAGGGCCAGAAGGTACAAAAACTCCAAAAAATACTCCTCCTGAGTTCCACACTCCCCCTTTTTGCTAATGATAGTCAAAGCACGATCAAGCATCGGAGTGGTTCTCACGGTCAGACTTAGCAGCATCAGCAGCAGTAGATTCGGTAAAGTTTAAGCGGAGAAGAACGGTAGCCAATTCAGTATGGGCTCCTGTCAGCTGCTTCGAAATTATGCCATGAACAGTTTCAAGTTCATAAACCCGGGCCTTTAGACGGAGAGAGAGTTGAACATCTTTCGCATGTGGTGAATCATCAGCCACTGTATCAGCATCAGTCGTGGAAGGAGCAATCACCGGCGTAACATCTCAGAAGTGACCTCCAGTCAGAAGACGAGGATCAACAGTATACAGCAGAGTCGGACTGATCACCTCACTAGGCATTGACTCAAGGCCCTGCGTTGTTAGTACTCCAAAGATCAGATTAGGGAAGGGCAACCTTACCTTCTGCTCACGAGGATGAATCAAAGTGAGAATATGAGAATAGATCCAGGCCCCCAAATCAATAGCCATTTTTGTTCCAATCCGAAACAAGAGACATGCCAATTGCTTGCCTTTAAACATTTTCAAGTTCATACACCCGGGCCTTTAGATGGAGAGAGAGTTGAACATCTTTCGCATGTGGTGAATCATCAGCCACTGTATCAGCATCAGTCGTGGAAGGAGCAATCACCGGCGTAACATCTCGGAAGTGACCTCCAGTCAGAAGACGAGGATCAACAGTATACAGCAGAGTCGGACTGATCACCTCACTAGGCATTGACTCAAGGCCCTGCGTTGTTAGTACTCCAAATATCAGATTAGGGAAGGGCAACCTTACCTTCTGCTCACGAGGATGAATCAAAGTGAGAATATGAGAATAGATCCAGGCCCCCAAATCAATAGCCATTTTTGTTCCAATCCGAAACAAGAGACATGCCAATTGCTTGCCGACCATATGAAAATGAGCTGATGGAAGCCAGTTGTGAAGAGCAAGACGATGCAAGATGACATATTTGGAGGTGAGCTATGAGCTAGGTAGATAATCTTTTTCACCAGTAGGCCATATATCAGTTTGTCCACCTGTGAGGGTCTTTGCCACCAAATCCTAGTCCGTGATTGCTTCTTCGTGCACTGCTTTCAAACCATAATATTCATTTATTATGTCAGGGCCGAAGACATACCATTTACCTCGAATGAAGATTTGCATTGGACGTGGCCAAGTCAAAATGTCAATCTCCACATTAAGATTACAGTAGAATTCATAAGTCAAGAGCTTCGAATAGGGGCAAATGGAGGAAACAGTCTTCAACAGGCCCACTTCACTTAGCAATGGCAAGATGTCGCAAACAGAATTCATCTGGTGTTCATCAACAGATGGATGTATCAGGATTTGCATCAGTAGGTTGAACCTCAGGTGTAATACTTCGTCCTCTGGAACGAGTAATTTGTTTCCCCTTCCGGGTAGAAGATGTAGGAACCACAGCAGGAACTTTTTGCTTGACAGATGACCGAAGGGTCTTGAACACTTGTTGGACAGGAGGATTAGATTCAGTATGGACAGACTCATCAGACTTTCTCTTCTTCTCAGGTTGAACCACATCAAGATTTTCATCACCAGATTCCACAACCACTTTCACAGGGACACTCTTCCGTTTGGATTTTCTTGTCTCTTTGGATGGGGAATGAGCATAAGGACTTGGAGACACAGAGTAGCTGAAATCAGTAACATGAGCAGAGGAACTTCCAAGCAGATTTGTAATTTCACGAATCTTGAAGGTGGTTGAATCAGGATGTGCAGTAGCTTCCACTGTTGGTGGCTTAGACACAGGAGCTTGTGAGCCATAGACTTCAGCAAGGATTTTATCGTCTTCACTAGACGACTCAGAAGGATGAATCACACGATATGGTTTTTCTTGAACAGCACCTTCAACTTGGGACCTTGAGGGATCAGCAGCCTCAATTTCAGTGGGCAAACTGGTGGGATTTTCAGATGGACAGATTTCATTTAGAGATGCAGAAATCCCAGAAGAGGGTAGAGCAACTTGATCAGTAGAGTAAACAACCAAACTTAGATTGTTGGACTTCTCAGATAGTTTATCTTTCTCATCAGACACAACATCAACAACTTCCTTCAAAGGTTCAGGCTTTGTAGAGGGGATACAGGGGGGGATCATCAGACACAGAGGATTTCACAGATATTAATGCATTCACATTATCAGAAACAGTAGGCACAGCAAAGGGAATAGCATCAGAGACTAAATCATCAGGCTTATCAGGAGAGATTTCAATAGGAGAATCAGAAGTATTTGACCTGTTACGGAGAATCTCAATCCGGTGTCTGGCTTCATCCTCGGCAGCCTGTAGGTATAGGGGTTGTGCAGCTACTCGACGACGCGAGACCTCTTCTTATTCAAGAACCCTTTGTGCAAAGTAGTGAAGAAACGCCCCAGCACGATTTCCATCTGAGGGGTCTAGAATAGATGCTGGACTAACCTCATTACTTGCTTCGGAGGCCAGCAACAAGAGCTCACTGGTGTCATCTTCGGACTAGTCGACGTAGAACTCTGGATAATCGGACAGCACGGTGACCATGATTTCATCGCGGAGAAGGGGATCAAGCTTCAACTTCTTCTTCATAGCTAACTGGAGCAATGTTTTGACATGCTTGGTGGCTGTTTCTGGTGAATGGATCTTTCTCCCAAGCTTGATGATAATGTTACGTACAGCATCCGCCTTTGGTATGAAGATTGAGGAAGCGGAGGAGAAAACCCTAGGTAGAAGAGCAGAGAGATACAAAACGGTGAGCAGAGATATTTTGAATTCTTCCTCCTTCCAAGCGTGACCCGTTAAACACATATAGTCCCAAGGGCGAAGAACCCTAATAAATGCGGCTTTTCAGATTACATGCAGATCTGATGTGATTGACGCAACGGTATACCTCCTTTTTAGGCAAGAAATGGATGCGAGGAAGATTTGAATTTTGAAAACGGCTAATTACTTTTATGGTAATTTAGGTTAAGATATTCTCTTAACAAAACAGAAGAGAGTTTTAAAAAAGAAATCAAAGCTGGAAATTGACCCGTAAACTTAATACCATCTCCTCTCCTTCTGTATAACTTACTGCCTTATTAATCAATCCTGCAGATTCCCAGAGCAGACCTGAGAATCTCAAACCGATTTGCATCTAGGGGCTTTGTCAGAATGTCAGCCAATTGCTTATCTGTTTGAATGTATTCCAACTCAATCTCCTTAGACTCTACCAAGTCTCTGATGTAGTGATGCCTTATATCAATATGCTTCGTTCTGGAATGTTGAACTGGATTCTTCGAGATATTGATTGCACTGACATTATCACAGTAAAGTGTCATAATCCCTTGAGTAAGACCATAATCTAAAAGCATTTGTTTCATCCATACTAACTGAGTACAACATCCACCAGCGGCTATGTATTATGCCTCCGCAGTACTTAAGGAAATTGAATTCTGTTTTTTACTTAGCCACGATACCAAGTTCTTACCAATGAAGAAGCATCCTCAAGAAGTACTTTTTCGGTCATCAATATTTCCTGCCCAGTCAGCATCACTATATATAAAAGAAAAAGTAGTTATACTATGGAACCATTTTACTCATATTTTTCACATCTAGTTTTGAGACTTAATTACCTACCCTTCACCTTTATTGTCACTACCATCCTCAACATCACTATCGCCACTATCATCATCATTGTCGCCACTATCATCATTGTCATCACTGCTATCATCATAGTTATCATCATTATCATCATCAATGAAATCGTAATCATCATCATCGTCACTATCATCACTACCGTCATCATCGTCACTATTGTCACTATCCTCATCATCATCACAATAATCATCATCATCATCATCATCATCATCATCATCATCATCATCATCAATGAAATCATAATCACCATCATCATTATCAATGGATTCATTGTTGACCCGTTAAAGGATAATCAGGATAAGTGGAATGGTTTCCATAAACCTGAATGGGATTTTAAAGTCCATTTTTTAAATAAATGGGATTTTAAAGTCCATTTTTTAAATAATATAAAGTTGATGCTGGTAGGAGAAGACATGATTATGAATCTCTTGCCTGCAAGGGTTTATATACTATTAGCTAGTTATTATGTTTCCCTAAGTTAATCTTAAACAAGTTAGAATTTTAGTATTTTAGTATGATAGCCCATGCCAACTTTAATTTAATCAAATTAGGACTTCTTATATAATTTATCTCGTTAATATATATAGATTCGATTTTATGATTTTAATTTTTTTTTCTAGTCTTGAAATATTAGTAGTTCCAATCCGGCCTTTTACGGACCAAACTCTTATTCATGTGAATTTTTTTTATTTGTCTAATATAAGTGCATTTATAAATATTTAATTTCTCTTCTAGTATAAGACACTAAATTATTATATATGTCATAATTCTTGTTTCAAATGGGTGATTAATTGATAAATATACAAAAATAATTATTAATTCCATAGATATAAGAAGTAACAATAAATGTCCAAATTAAATAATCTGATCTTCTAGTAAACAAAAAATAGTATATCTAACCCAACACACTACACAAAAATTATTTTGAGATCCCCAAAAAAAATAAATCAAACTTTGAAATAATATATATTTTCAAGACAGGCATATATATAAATAATGAATTTTTAAGGGGTTTGACTGTTTGAGACTTGTTGAATAATATTAATATGAATTTCAAAATATTCAAAAGAGAATATATTAATATATATATCCAAATTCTTCATTTGTAAATCTGATAACAAAAAAATTAATTGATTGAGATAATCAATATTAAGGCTACCTACTTACTACCAGCACATCTATTTTTGCTAATTAATAGCCACAAACCTAAGCTAATTAAGCAACTGCGGGCATATATAAATTAAACAAAGTTATGCATGAGTGAAGCGGCACTGATATTTGATCATCGGAACGTAGAACTCATCACTGCATTCATCTTTGATCTCTGCAACAGACTTGCAACACTCTGTTGAGAATTTGTAGCCAGCATTGGTGTCACTAAATGAGAAGCCCTCTTTCATGCAACTCTCGATTACTGCAGGTGTTGAAGGGCATTTGGTGCTGTGGTGTGGACCGTGTGGTAGCCATGGCCACTTGCTACCGCCTGAAGGGAGTGGTGGGAAGGCTGGGAAATGCCATTTATTCTTCGGGTGCCAAGATGGCAATGGAGGGTGTGGGAAAGTAGGCCATTTGGTTTTAGGCAGCCAAGAGGGCAATGGGGGATGAGGGAATTTGGTTTTAGGTAGCCAAGAGGGCAATGGAGGGTGGGGGAATTTGGTTTTAGGAAGCCAAGAGGGCAATGGAGGGTGGGGGAATTTGGTTTTAGGGAGCCAAGAAGGTAATGGAGGGTGAGGGAATTTGGTTTTAGGAAGCCATGAAGGCAATGGAGGGTGGGGGAATTTGGTTTTAGGAATCCAAGAAGGCAATGGAGGATGAGGGTGTTGATGCCAAAACACCAGCCACTCTGGGTGTTCATCTCCTCCATGATTCTCACTGCTAACCCTCACAAAATTTTCCCTTCCAAAACTCTGAATTAACAATAGCGAAAGACACACAAGGAGAAACATTCGAGCAGCTGCCATGGCTAACACACTAGATTAAATTAAATGGCGGCTTTGAAGATATGAAGATGACTATGCCCTGCGGGGTTTATATACTACTATTAGCTAGCTATATCTAAGGAGATAGGTACTCTTTAATCTTTTATTTCATCTTTACTGATAATCTTTTATAACTGTCTCATTAGGATGTTGGGTTCAAATTTTAACAAAATATGGGTAAATTTGATGAAGATAACTCTACAAATTGCACATCATTATCAGTACTACGGGGTCTGTGGTATATATCAATCGCCTAAAAATCAAGCACATGCAAATAACCAAGATCAAAAATCGGACTATGTTTTTTCACCCATTTTTATGCATGTGATCTTGTTTTATGTAATTTTCATTTTGTGTAATCTCTTTTTCAAATATAATTACTATTATATATATATATATATATATATATATATATATATATATATATATATATATATATATATGTCACAAACTTGGGATTTAAGCAGAAAAATTGCAGAGAAGGGGTGTAGAAGAAGAAGAAAAGATAGGATTCTGAATAGAAATTAGGAAAGGAAATAGGGTCTTGATTCTTCAATTCAGCAAAAGCATAGGTAAAACTAGCAAATAAATAAAAACAAGCCAGCTAATGCTTCCAAAAAATGCTAACAACCCTCCGGAATCTCAGCTCCTCAAACCCTTCGACCAGCGCAACAACCTTGGATTAAAACAAAAATCACCGGCTTCAAACGACTGCGTTTTGTTTAATTATAACGGCCCTCAACCACCTCCTTCTAAACGGCGTCGTTTCACTTAAGTTCATAACTGCTTGAATTGACTCCCTTCATACGACGCCGTATTAGTCCCCGACTTTTGTTCCTTCATTTTCTGAGGCTTCTTTGGACTGTCTACTGGCCTCTTCTTCACTGGACTCATCTTCACTTCCCAGGGTTGTCACATTACCCTCCCCATCATGAGATCCTTGTCCCCAAGGATCAAAGCCAGGAAATTGTTTGGTAATATGATGAAAATTTTCCTAGGTTGCTGCCTCTTTAGGCAGATTTTCCCACTACACAAGGATCTCCACTTCAGCTTTGTTGTTCTTCTGATCTTAATTAGTCTCTTCCCTATAGCTGCAACTGGCTGAGTCAATATCACCCCTTCATTGTCAGTTAGTGGCAATGTGGATTGTGGAATCACTCCTTCCCCAACCCTCTTCTTCAATTGAGAGACATGAAAAACTGGGTGAATAACAGTTTCTGCTGGCAATTCCAATCTGTAAGCAACTTCTCTAATCTTTTCCAAGACATTGAAGGGACCATAGAACCTTGCAGTGAGCTTCACATTCGATCTAACAGCCATGAAAACCTGCATGTAAGGCTGTATTTTAAGGTAGACATAATCCCCAACAGCAAACTGCCTCTCAATTCTGTGCTTATCTGCTTGCTGCTTCATTCTGGATTGAGCTTTGTGTAGATTTTCCTTAAGTATGGTTATCATAGAGGCCCTTTCCTGAAACCACTCATTGCCCTCCCTTGCCTGTAGCACATTGAAGGTTAGAATAGGTGGTAGATAACCATACAAAGCCTGAAATGGGGTGCACTGCAAGGATGTGTGGTAATTTGTGTTGTACCAATGCTCAGCTAAATGTAGCCACTTAGACCATGCCTTAGGTTTATAAAAAACCATACATCTGAGGTAAGTTTCTAAGCATTGGTTAACTCTTTTTGTCTGTCCATCAGATTGAGGATGATAAGTTGTGGACATGCTTAAATTTACTTGCAGCTGCTTAAACAGACTCCTCCAAAACTTGCTCACAAACACCCTATCTCTGTCACTCACAATATCTTGGGGCATTCCATGAAGTTTATAGATGCGCTCCATGAAGATCTCAGCTACTTTTTCTGCAGTGTAGGGGTGAGCAAGGGCCAAGAAATGGCTGTACTTGGTAAGCCTATCCACCACCACCATGATGACCTCCTTCTCTTGAGATATGGGCAGCCCCTCAATAAAATCCATTGAAATGTTTTGCCAAGCCTGTTCTGGGATCTTTAGGGGTTGTAGTAGCCTAGGGTAGGCCACATTCTCCTCTTTGTATTTTTGACAAATGTCACAGGCTTTCACTGTTGCTATCACATCACCTTTCATTCCTTTCCAATAAAACAACTGTTTGAGTCTATTATAGGTTACTTGCTGACCTGAATGTCCTCCTGTAGGTGAGCTATGCAACTGCATTAGAAGCTTTTTCCTTAGGTCTCCCTGCTGACCAATGTACAACCTCCCCTTGAACCTAACCAGTCCATCAACTACTGTAAAATTTGAAGGTTCTTCAACTGCAATCAACTGCTCAGTGAGTATCTTAGAAGCTAATTCATCCCCTTCATAGCTTCTTATGACTTCTTCTAACCAGAGTGGTCTTACTGCTGAAATTGCCAAATTCTCAGCTTGATCAGGACTTCTCCTTCTAGATAAGGCATCAACAACACTGTTGTCCACCCCCTTCTTATATTGAATGGTGTAGTTCAGTCCAAGAAGTTTAGTAAGCCCCTTTTGCTGCATAGCTGTTGTTATCTTCTGTCCTAGTAGGAATTTCAAACTCTGATGGTCAGTTTTGATAGTGAATGGCCTTCCCATCAAATAAGATCTCTATTTATCAACTACATTGATGATGGAAAGGTATTCTTTTTCATAAATTGACAGCCCCAAATGCTTAGTCCCAAATCCTTTGCTAAAGTAAGCCATTGGCTTCCCTTCTTGCATAAGTACTGCTCCCATCCCTTTATAACAGGCATCAGCTTCAACCACAAAACTCTTCTCAAAATTAGGGAGAGTTAGGACTGGAGCACCACACAAAGCTTGCTTCAAAGTTTCAAAAGCAGTTTCAGATTCCTCACTCCACTGAAAGGCATCCTTTTTAAGCATATTAGTCAGTGGCCTGCTGATAATACCATATGCTCTTATGAATCTCCTGTAATAACCTGTGAGACGTAGGAACCCTCTCAATTCTTTAATGTTAGCAGGTTTAGGCCATGAGGCCACAGCAGCCAGCTTGGCAGGGTCTGTATGCAATCCCTTTCCAGAGATAATGTGACCAAGATACTCCACCTCTGTCCTAGCAAAAGAACAGTTGCTAAGTTTTGCTAATAGCTGGTGGTCCCTCATTACTTCCAGAATTTCCCTTAAGTGTCCCCAGTGAGTATTCAATCTAGGACTGTAGATGAATATATCATCAAAGAATACTAACATTGTCTTTCTAGTCAATGGTTTAAACACAAAGTTCATGAGAGATTGAAAAGTAGCAGGTGCATTGCTTAATCCAAAGGGCATTACCTTAAATTCATACAACCCTAGGTGAGTCCTGAAGGCTGTCTTGTATTCTTCTCCTTCTTTCATCCTGACTTGATGGT